TTGAAAACGAAGCGAGTTCAGCGATTTGAAGTTTTTAATGCGGCTTAGACAGTTTTGCAGTCTGTAGCGGCTTAGCCTCAGTAAACACCTCGCGCGTTTACTAAGGCTAAACGACTACAAACTATAAAGTGCGCCTAAGCCTCAGTAAAAACTTCAAATCGCTGTAACTCGCTTCGTTTTCAACCGATTTTCATGATTTTTAGAGGGAAATGTTGCGAATTTTTTATATTTTATAGAAAATCAGGATGTTTAGAATTTTTTTCCATTTTTTATTTTAAAATTTTGTCCTATTTGTGACCCGAAAACCCTCAAAAACTTGAAATCCAAAACTTGAAGATATTTTGAGTAAAAAACGGTAGAACTGTGGAAAACTAGCCAAACTACAGTAGTTAAGTCTTTTCAGAAACTTAGTAAATGACTACAAACTATAAAATGGTTCTTAGAATCAGTAAAGCATTCTCAAGTAACTGTGACACTACCCTAGTGATCCTCTGCCACCACCAGCTGCCCCTCCCCTCTCTCTCTCTCTCTCTCTCTTCTAAAGACATCTGCTCTTCTTATTCTATCCACACGGTCATCATCATCATGTCTCCATCGAGATAGTGTGAGAGAGTATGAAAAATAGAGAGACGCAGAGAAAAGGACACACTACTTATCGTGAAGACATGTGTTATGGTTCGAATTGGTTGGGTTCAGTGGGTTAGAGAGGAAAGAAGACGCTAATAAGATTTTAATGATTCATTTCACAGCAAAATCTGTGAGAAATTTGAGAGAAAAGAGCACAAAAATAGTTCGTTTTGTGCAAGGATTACTGCATAACCTATAATAGAAGACCACCCTAACTTTGAACCAATATATCTCGGTTCCTGTGAAAGATGTCAAAATTTTGTCAACTAGTAAAATGTTTATTATAACATCACCAATATTTTGTCAGTTAATCTCTTTTTGATATCTTTTACAGGAAATTAGATATATGGACTCAAAGTTGAGCCTTTGGGTGGCGTTCGTACCGTATTTTCCCCCACCCAAGCTGCTAACTTTGAGCTCAATTATATCCGTTTCTGTGAAAGATATCAAAAAGTTGTCAGCTAATATTTGTGATAACATGATAAACATTTTATCAGTTGACATCTTTTGATATCTTTTACAGGAACATAGGTAAATGGGTTCAAAGTTGAAGAACGAATCCGGACAAACAGACACACACGTCACTTGTGATAATACATAGGATGAGTGGTTTAACAAGAGAGCCATAAGGCGTGAGAAAAGAAGGAAAAATGTGAGAAACTAGAAAGTGCGAAAGAGCAAGAGCCTTTGGGAGACAAAAGATCACAACTGTTTAGACTGATCTTTAGAGCTTTGATTAGTTAGAAAATTCTAAAAAGTGGAAGTTGGAAGACAAAAATTTGAGTTTCAAAGGTTTTCATAAAAATAGCCCAAAAAAAAAAAGAAATTTGTAAATAATTAGCACCTTTTTGGCTCCAAAATGGCTCGGAATTTTTGAAAATTTGAAAATCATCATTTTGAAAAAAGCTAGAGCTCTTTGAGCACCTGACAAACCAATTAGCGGTCGTTTCTTTTAATCTTCTTTTTTCAAATCCTTTGCGGCTACTAAAAATGTTTTTTAATGAGCTAATTAAGAACAAAAAAAATGGGAACAGTTGTCTTTTTTAACTGAGCTTTAGAGCTTCAATTGCCGTCAAACCTGTAATAAAAGGTCAATTTTTGAAAAAAAAAGTCTACATTGTCAAGTTTGAGCTCTATTATCTCGATTCCTGTGATAGATATCAAAATAGTGTCAACTGATAAAATTATGGTGATATTATGATAAACAATTTATCAGTTGACAACTTTTTGATATTTTTCACAAGAACTGAGATAAATGGACTTAAAGTTGACGGGTTGGGGAGGGGGCTTTTATTATAAGTAACCAGCAAGCTGGCGCGCCTTCGGCGCGATTCAATCTAGTCAATCAAAAAACACAAACCAATTTTTTGAGTTCATTTTTTTCGGTGCTCTTGGGGACTGACTCATTTACTAAGGTATTTAGTGGAAGAGAGAGAGAACACTTGTAGGTGATTTTTCTCTCTCTCTTTTTTTCTTTGGCAAATATTTGAGGAATGAGTGAAAGGCAGAACAAAAAAAAATGAGGAGAAAAAAAGGAACAGTGTTAGGGAGATTTTAAAAATTTTGAAAAGAAAAAACCTATTAGAATGGTCCAGAGAATGCTGAAAAACTGGAATTTTAGGAACCCGATCTACCGGTAACACTCTAAAAGAGTGCCCTTTATCTTTGAGCCTTTATATCTCATTTCTTGTTACAGATATCAAAAAACTGTCAAATGATAAAGTATTCATCATAACATCAGCAATATTTTATCAATTGACCACTTTTAAATATCTTTTATAGGAGCCGCGATAAGTTAGATCAAAGTAATCGGACCTTCCAAGGGTGAGAGGCAAGCGGGGGGGGGGGGGGGGGGGCTCTCCCTTTATGCTTATTTATCTCGGTTACTGTGGAAGATATCAATAAAGTGTGTCTATTAATAAAATGTTGGTGATATTATGATTAACATTTTATCAGTTGACAACTTTTTGATATCTTTCACAGGAATTGAGATAAATTGATTCCAAGTTGATGGTTCGGGAGGTGGGGGGGGGGGGGGTCTAATTACGAATAAAATTTGAATTTCAAAACCAGAAAAGAAGAAAAAGAAGAAGAGTTTCTGGTCAAAGTGTCGATTCTCTCTTCCCAAGAAGACGAGACCCCAGAAACCGAAAAAGGACACAAGAACAAAAAAAAAGATTTAGATCTCTGATTAGATATTTCCGGAGAGAGAGAGAGAGGTCTTTCTTCTTCTTTTTCTGGTGGTAAATTTTGTCGGTGTGAAAAAAGACAAAAGAAAAAAAATGGGAAAAAAATGGAAATTTTGAAACTAGAAAATTTTTTAAAAATTTGAAATTTGATTTTCCGAAAATTAAAAAGGGCTCTTTACTTTGAGCCAACATATCTCGACCCCTTTCAGAGATTGCAAAAGACTGCTAGCTAATAAATTGTTTATCATAATATTACTAAAATTTTATCAGTTGACACATTTTTAATATCTTTCACAGGAACTGAGATATAAGGGCTCAAAAGGACACGCCCCTTCCCCCTTCCTTTCTCCCCTCGCAAGGTCTAATTACTTTAAGCTTAATTATCTCGATTTCTGTGAAAGATATCTAAAATCTGTCAACTGATAAAATATTGATGCCATTATGATAAACATTTTATGAGTTGACCTTTTCTTGATATCTTTTATAGGAACAGAGATAACTGAGCTCAAACATAGCAGTAGTTATCCAGCAATTGAAATTAATGAAAAGTTAGTTAAAAATCCAAAAAAAAAGATAAAACAGAAATTAAACTTTTTCAGGAGCTAAAAAATGAAAGAGCCAAAATATTTGTTGAGCCGAGGAGATGAGATAAAAAAGCAATTGGATTTGACTGATGATCCATCGAAACCCCAAAAAGAGCAGGTAGAAAATTTCAAATCCATTGAAAATTTAAGAAAATTCTAAATTTTTGAGATTCTGAGCATTTTATGCTAGCTAAATTCAGAAATAAAATACCAAAAAATGTGAAAAAACTCCAAAGGTACACAGAATTAATTGAAATTCATTGAAACGTTCAATAGAGCAAACTTGCTCCCCCAGAAACTAAATACCGTATGACCACCCAATCCTTTAACTTTGAGCCCATTTATCTCGATTCCTGTAAAAGATATCTAGAAGTTGTCAACTGACAAAATGTGTATCATAATATCAGCAATATTTTATCAGTTGACCACTTTTTGTTATCTTCCACAAGAATCGAGATTATTGAGCTCGAAAGTGACGCTTTGGATGGACTTCTAGTCGAGGAAACACGGTAAGTGCCCAACTCTCAATAGAGCGCATTTTTGCAGGACGCCGGAGTGTTAATTCTGCTTCACGACGACGGAGAATCGGAAATCAAAGTGTTGTTGTGTGTGCGAAGTCTTCAGATGAGAAGACATCCTGGAGAGGTTCGTTTCGGTAGAATAGGTTTGTCCAAAAAGGAAATTTCGGAAGGTCGATAAAATAAGTATGAGAATTATATGGGTTATGGTTTAGTAGGAAGAGGTAGGTGAGAGAATATGATTATAAAAATGATGAGTACTATCACATTGATTAAAAAAAACAGTATATTTGGATAGGAAAATATAGGAAAAGACTGTTCAGATACCAAATTAGACATCTAAATTCCAAAGTATCACTACAGTTGGATTTTGAGCTCAATTATCTCAGTCCCTAGATAAGATATAAAAAAGTGATCCACTGCAAAAATATGTGAAATTTAATTTCACATATTTTATTAACTGACCACTTTTTTGTATCTTTTCTAGAAATTGAGATAATAAAACTTGAAATAAGAAGCTTAAGAAATTCAATGGTTAACAAATGGAGAAATCATAGAAAGTAGCCATAACTTGTTTAGTTTTCAAGCTAGCGTTTTGATTTTAGTACTATTTTATAGGAAATCCAAAGATTAAGAATTCGATACTAAATTTGCTTTCGAAAACATATATTGAGAGTTTTTAGCACCCTATTAACATTGTTTTATGGCTCAATAAACTATGAAAACCTAGTTTTTTTAAATGATTGGCAGGAAAAAGAAGAATTTATGGTATTGGAGATGTTTATTATAACCATAAATACCGTATTTCCTCTAACAGAAGCTCACCCACACCGTTAACTTTGAGCTCAATTATCTCAGGTTCTGTAAAAGATATTAAAAAATTGTCAACTAATAAAATATTGCTGATATTATGATAAACAATTTATTAGTTGACAACTTTTTGATATCTTTTGAAAAAAATGAGATATAAGGGCTCAAAGGGACAGGCCCCTCCCCCCTTCCTCTCTCCCCTGGCAAGGTCCATTTACTTTGAACTCATATATCTCAGTTCCTGTTAAAGATATCAAAAATTTGTAAACTAATGAAATGTTTGTTATATTATGGTAAACATTTTATTAGTTAACAAATTTTTGATACCTCTCACAAGAAACGAGATATATGTGCTCAAAATTGACGACTCGGGTGGCCTTCTATAGTAGTAATTTTTGATCCTAAACTTTGCCGAAAATGCTCCGAAAAAAAAAGAATCCTATTAGGTTGAACAGAAAGTTTCTTCCTTTTTTGACAACTTTTTTGATCAAATTTTCCTCAGAGCTGAAGGGGCTAGATAAATGAAAGTTACGTCCATGAGCAGTGATAGTTGTCTGCCAACACTCCGGTAATTTCTTAATTCCACTTCTCATTTACACTAATTATATCGTCCACCCAACTGAACGTGTGAAGAAATGATGGAAGAAACATACTCATGTCCACATGGAGATCCATATCATAGTCCTTCCAAACACAGGGGTACGAATCGACTTATTTTTTGACTTCGCCAACAGACTTCGATCCGTTCACAATACTTGGTTGACTAACGTACAACGTCTTTGACATTTTACGAATAGTTTGAAATGGATCCGCCTTCACGGCTTTCAGCAATGTATCGAGATCCAACTAACTGGGCAGTTGTCATCTTTCAAACCGAACTCCCCCGAAAGGGATCTGTCGAACCAAAGTCAAATTGTAGGCGATAACGGAGCATGTCCTATACATACATTTGCCATTTTTTTGCAAATAGCAGGTATTTGAAGATCAAATAAAAACGAAAACATAATCATGTAGCTTATGTGCAGTCGGATAAGGGTCATAAGAATGGTCATTCCTTCAACACGGAGAGAGATAAAAACTAACCAATCTAAAATCTAATAGACACTGAACACAGCTCTCTAACAAAAAAAAGTTTGGCCCGCTACACCTTTTCTAGAACCAGAAGTGGAGCCTCAAAAACAACCCTGTGAAAAAGGAAGAAACTTTCTGTTCAACCTAATAAAAAAAAAGAAAAAAGCCAAAAAATATTGGTTCAGGTCTGTTTTCCGGGTGGAATGATGGATGATGAAGATGGAAATGATGTCCGTCGGACGGCGATTCGAGAAGCTTACGAGGTAAGAATAGGAGGAGAAGAAGAAAAAGACACTTATCCTCTTGAGAACAAAAAAGAAGAACATTTAGGGGGAGAAGAAGTGTGTGGGAATAAGACATAGTTTTCGAAGTGACATTTTCCCAAAATGTGACCAAATCCAATTGGGAATACATACTTGATATCTTCAAGGGGTGTTCTTCTTTATTTTGAGATCCTTAAAGTTTTGGCAAGTATAGATCAAAAGTTTTGATCTACTCGTCCAGTTAGTTAGTACTAGAATAGAATGACAAGTTGAGAGATCTTTAGAATTTATAGGGATTTTCTGAAATTGGGGGATTCAAAATAGTTTGAAATCCAAAGAACTCAAAAAATGGAAAAAAAAAGGAAAAGTCTAGCTTTCAATTTTGAGCCAATTTATCTCACTTCCTGTCAGAGATATGAAAAAGTTGTCAAGTAATAAAATGTTTATCATAATATCAGCAATATTTTATTAGTTGACATATTTTGATATTTTTTATAGGAACCGAGATATGAGGGCTTAAAGTAATTGTACCTCCCGAGAGAAGAGAGGTAAGGGGGAAGGGTGGCTGTCCCTTTAAGCCCATTTATCTCGAATACTAAAAGAGGTGTCAAATAGATCTCAACTGATAAAATATAGATGAAAATATCAGGAACATTTTATCATTTGACACATTTTTTATATATTCTATAGGAGCCGAGATAATTGAGCTCAAGCTTAGCTCTTCGAGTTTTGCGGTATTTTTTGAAATTGGAAACATTGAATTTTGAGAATTCAACTCGATTTTTTAGTTTTTAGCTTTGAAAACTTTGAAATTTCAGAATTTCAAACTAAGTCTACATTTTACTATTTCTCCTAATTCGATTATACACATAATTGGTCACAGACCAATTAACTATTTCCTTTAAAAAAACAGAAAAAAAAAGTTTTAAAACTGTTCAAAAGTAATTATCGAATCATAATATACGAAAACAGGTAGAAACCTTGAAGTTCCTGCTAATTAAAATTGTTCGATGAAGTTTTAAAAAAAAAGTAAAATAGCTGAAAATTTCAAAAAACTTGTCTTTAAAAATTCTAAAAATAGGCTTAAAATGACCGAAAATCAATGAAATTTACTAAAATAAAATTTCAAAATTCCCGCCTTGTCAAAGAATTTGTCAAAAAGTCAAAGAAATTTGTCACCGAATCGAACGGTTCAATGAGGTGAAGGAAAAGGGCGGAAAATGAGAAAAAACGAGAGAAAGAGAAATAGTATGGAAGAAATGAGAGACGCAGAGAGAAGGAAAAGGTCAATTTTCTGTTGTTCATGGGGAGGGAAATTGCAGGAAGTTGGAATCAAGGGAATTCTCGAAAAATGGGTTTTGGCTTATTTTTAATCTATTTTTAAATGATACATAAAAAATGAGCCAAAAATCATCAAAACCCGTTGAAAACGAAGCGAGTTACAGAGGTTTGAAGTTTTTTGGTTTTTTTTACTGAGGCTTAGAAGCGTTTCGTAGTTTGTAGCCGCTTAGCCTCAGTAAACGCACGCGCTAGTTTACTGAGGCTAAGCGATTACTAGGTAGAAAGTGCAGAGGTTTAAGTTTTTACTGAGGCTTAGACAGTTTTGTAGTCTGTAGCCGTTTAGCCTCAGTAAATTAGCGCGCTAGTTTACTGAGGCTAAACGACCATAAACTACAAGAATGCGTTAGCCTCAGTAAAAACTTCAAATCGCTGTAACTCGCTTCGTTTTCAACGGATTTTGATGATTTTTGGGGGAAAATTTTGCGAATTTTTTATATTTTATAGAAAATCAGTAGTTTTTTTAGAAGTTTAAAAATTTTTCTATTTAAAAAAGTATAGAAAATGAGCGACGCAGAGAAAGGGTGAAATTGCAGGAAGTTGGAATCAAGGAAACGGAAGATTATGTGGTTCTTGGAAATCTTCCAGCGTTTCGAGCTCGATTTGGAATACTTATTCATCCTACGGTGGCCTTGTTGAGGTATAAAGCCACTACAAACTACAAAAATTTTCTGAAAAATTCAAATTCTTAAATTTTTTCCAGAAGACGTCCAACCTTCTCCCTAAGCCAAAACGAGGTGGATTCAATATTTTGGATTCCATTATCCGAATTTTTAGATTCCACTTTTCATTCGACGTTCGCAGTGGAGAAGTATTATATGGTTCATATGTTTCAGGTAAGACTACAAACTACAAATCAGATTTCTTTTTTAATTTTTGAAAAAAAAAACGTAAAAAATTGTTTCCCCCAAAATTTTTTTTTGAAAATCTAATGACTACAAAGACTACAAACTACAAATTGCAGTTTGAGGAGTACCCTCTCACCTATGGAATCACTGCTTTGATGTGTATTATTGTGGCAATTGGAATTTTGGAAAAAGTGCCAAATTTCAGTTTGATGTCAAATTTAACACTGGAAATCATGAAGGAACAACAATTGAGCAGTTTGAAAATCATTCGACATGTCTATCAGTTTTCTGGCAACAAGTTTCAGAATTCGAAGATTTGAAATTTTTTGAAAATTATTATTTTTTGATTTTTAAAAAATAAATATATATTTTTTACTTTTTTTTGTTTCAAAATCAAGGATTTTCTCTTGAAAACCAAGCTTTTTCAAGGTTTTACAGATTTTAAAATTGAAAAACAATAGTTCTGAAAAAAAATCAATTTTCAGAAATTTTTTATTTTTTAAATTTTTTCAGAATAATTTAATTTTATTTTTTTCGAACTTTTTTTTTCATTTTTTTCAGAAATTGTTGAGGTGTGAAATGTGGAAATTTTCAAAAAATAGGGGGATTAATAAAAAAAAATGACACAATAGAAAAAAAATGAACCGGTTTTCTAAAAAATAGGAATAGGAAACAACTTTTTGAGGTCAAATATTGTATTTCAGTTTTTCAATTTTTTTCTAAAATTTTTGAATTTTCGAATTTTTAAATTAGAAAAATAAGGGTTTTTGAGCAACGCCTCTAGCTAGCTGGTGCGCCTTCGGCGCGATTTAACCTACAGTAAACACTGTAATAGAACGCCACCCAAACTGTCTACTTCAAGCCCATGTGTCTCATTTCTTATGAGAGGTATCAAAAAGTAGTCTACTGATAAAATATAGATGATATTATGATAAAAAATTTGTCAGTTGACCGCTTTTTGATATCTTTTACGGAAACTGAGATGATTAGACTTGAATTGGCAGGTGCCTCCCGACGCCCATCCCCCTTTGCCTCTCGGGAGGTCGCTTTCTTTGAGCTCAATTATCTCAGTTCCTGTGGGAGATATTAAAAAGTTGTCAACTGACAAAATATCAATGATATTATGATAAATATTTTATTAGTTGATCACTTTTATATATCTTTAACAAGAACCGATATATTTTGGCTCGAAGTTGGCGGTATGAATGGCGTTATATTAGAGTCACGTCAAATTATATTTATTTTTCAATCTTTTCAAAAATGTAAGGCCACAAAAAATTATTCCACGTATTGGATAAGAAATCAGTGTCTCTGTGAAATCCCTTTGAATCTTTATTGTTGGATAATTTTCAGTGGCACCTTCTCTCTGGTAAGAAGCTCTTTGCATTCCGCTGCTCATTTGTTGTCTCTTTTGCTTTTTTCTGTCGATTGGTCCAATGCGAAAAAAGTACTAAAAGGCCCGAAGGGTCGCCATGTTTCCGGGTTCATGGCTAGGTGTTTTATCACTGAACGTCCCCGAGTAGCAGAAGATTTTATCAATGATTAAAAAAATGGAGACAACAATGAAAAGCGATTATGCAATGTGGCTTCTTATCGGGATGAGAAGGAGCTTCTGAAAATTAACCGACAATGGTCTCCGAAAAGAGGTTTTATTTTTTGTTAGGAGATGATCTTGTTTTATTTTTTGTTAGGAGATGGGGGACCCTCCCTCCACCTCCTATATGGGTTTTAGAAGGTGATCCCATTGGTCAAATAAACCTTGTTTCCCTTTCATGTACTGAGCCTCTACGTGGCGAAAGGGATCAACAGGCTAGTTTCTAGTCTGGCTAATCAGTACCCTTGTTAGTTTTTATCATTCTTATTATGGTACAAAGTGATTGAGGGTGACTGAAGTAAACTTATGAAAAGCTCCGCCCATTTTTTATAGATGTTATTGGTCAATATTATTTTGAGAACAAGGTAAGGAGAATTTACAATCGGCTCATTAGGTTTTTTTCCCAGAAGGATTTTTCCCGGAAACTGAGATAATTGCAGTTGAAGTGAGGAGGTCATCCCTCTTGGGGTGCGCTCACAGTACTATCTTATTTGACCCCAATTATCTCAGTTTTAGGAAAGATATCAAAAAGTAATTTATAAATGAAATGTATAGAATTGAATTCTACACATTTTATTAGTTCACCACTTTTTGATATCTTTACCAGGTATTGAGATAAAAACGATTGAAGTGAGTAGGACCTCCCCCAGGGGTGCTCTGCTCCGCCCACCTCTCCTTCAACTTTGACCCTAATTATATCAGTTCTCCTGAAAGATATCAAAAAGTGGTCAATTAGTAAAATGTGTAAAATTAAATTTTACACATTGTATTAGCTGACCATATTTCGACATATTTTATAGCAATTGAGATAATTAACTTTGAAGTAAGCTACCCAGAGAGGGGAGTGGGTGGTAGGCTCGCGCGTACCACTCCTTTAACTTTGACCCCAACTATCTCAGTTACCAAGAAAGATATCAAAAAGCAGTTAACTAATAAAATGTGTAAAATAAAATTATTTTATTAGTTGACAGCTTTTTGATAGCTTTTTTTGTAGCTGAGATATGGAGCTTCAAAAAAGCCAGGACCTCCTTCTTTCATCATGGGAGAGGGCGTGGTAGGCCCCGAGCTTGAATCCTCTATCTTTGAGATAAATTATCTCAGTTCCTAAGAAAGATATCAAAAAGTAATTAACTAGTAAAATGTGTGAAATTCAATTTTCTACATTTTATTAGTTAGCAACTTTCTGATATCTTGTATAGATAATAAGATAATTCAAGATAATAAGATAATTTAAGCCAGTTCAAGTAAAACAGTTTGCTGACGACCTAAAAATTTATTGCCCAATTAAAAAAGGAGACATGGGAGGATCTCTGCAAGAATCAATCAATAAAATCTATGAGTGGTCAATGAATGCTAAACTAGAATTAAATCTATCAAAGACCTGCTGCATCAGTCTTGGTAAAAACCCAAAATATATAAATTATTTCCTTGATAATGACAAAATTAAACGGGAAACTACAGTTAGGGATTTAGGATTTATAATCACTGAGAGATTAGATTTCTCTAACCATTGGCAGAAAGCTATCAATAGGGCGAAATATGCTAGTTACTCTATTTTTAAAACTTATCATAGTAAGAACGTTAGATTAATGTCATTACTATATAAGACTTTTGTGCGACCGTATTTGGAATATGGAACGGTGGTAGCCAGCCCTTCTAAAAAACTGCTCATTGACAATATAGAGAAAGTGCAAAGCTCCTTCACTAGAAAATTGATGAATAGAATAGTGGGTAGAAACTTAACGAGAATTGATAAGGATTACAAAACATCTCAAGACAGATTGACCGAATTCAGCCTAGGATCACTACAATCTAGACGGGAAAAGCTTGATCTGAAATTCTTCAACAAACTCATTCTAGGTAAAATTAATATAAATCATTTATCATATTTCAAAATTAGATCGACAAAAACGCGCAGCCGCCACACCTACCAATGGAAAACTCCAAAGTCTAAACTTAAACAAAACTTCTTCACACATAGGGTTCTTAGTAAAATGATGAGCTCTACAAAACGGATCTAAAAGCCTGCTGTTGTCAGAAGTTCGGAAAAAGATTTGTTATTATCCACTATTATTCATGTCTAGGTTAAGAAATATAAATTTTATGTCACCATGTCCCTTTTTGTCTATTTATTCTCTTTTTCATTCTTTTTTCTTTTTATTCTTCCACGTATTTTTTACGCGATAAATACAATACAATACAATACAATACAATAATTAAAGTTAAAGTAAGGGAGCTTAAAAATCGCAGTGAATCCCGTTAGAAAGCGGCTTCAAAGCGATTCCTCCATTTTCAATACCAATATGATTTTTTCTGAAACTTCCAAATCTTCCACATATCTTATTTCCACCCCAAAAACTGCTCTCAATTGACAGCTCTTTGGCTATACCTGTTAGTAGTTCTCTGCTAAGTGCGTCATGTAGTATTTTCTTCTCCTCGCCAAAAAATCTCAAGTACTTCAGTACCTTCTCCCCTCAAATCACCCTCAGATTCTTCCGATTTTTCCTCTTTCTCTGCGTCTCTCAATCTCTAGTAGATAGTACAGTGTGTGCAAATACCCATCCTTTGGGCTCTTATTTTTCCTCCCACCTAGATTTTTCTTGGCTTCTACTTTTCTTTTTTCTTGGATTTTTCTAGAAATTTTAAAATTCCTTTTTTAAAAATAGCAGTTCCAGGAAACCCGACAAAAATGGCGCCAAATCGATCTCATCCGATTCCTATTCACAGGTAGGAGAGGGGTACTGTAGAATTCAAATTTTTTGAAAGTTTGAAGATTTTCGGCGGGAATTTCAAATTATATTGAAAACTCAAAGTCTTGGGGTTTTAAACCTGAAAATTAGAATTTTTCAAAAATTCGTAATCTGAAAATTGTTATTTTGGCCTAATTTTTTGAAAAATTCCAATTAAGTCAATTATTACATTTTTAGAAATTTTGCACCCAAATTATTTTTTTTTCCGATTTCTCATTTTTTTTCAATTTTTCAATTTCAATTATTTAGTTCCTATTGACCCAAAGAATTAAATTCTCTCCGCTTTTTTATTATTTGAATGTCGTAGGTTTTCGAGAAATTTGATACAGTTTTTCTCGAAAAACTAGAGAAAATAGGAAAAATTGGAAATAAAAAAATTGGACAATCTGAAAATACAGTAATCGGAAATTTGAATTTGAAAAAAAGGAATATACCGTAAACACTCTAATAGAACGCCACCCGGACCGTCCACTTTGAGCCTATATATCTCACTTCTTTTGAAAGATATCAAAAAGTTGTCAACTGATAAAATATTTATCATAATATCAGCAACATTTTATTAGTTAAACACTTTTTTATATCTCTTATAGGAGCTGAGATACATAGGCTCAAAATTGACAATTCGGGTGGCGTTCTATTATAGTGTTTACGGTAATTAAGCTAAAAATTGAAAAATAGGATATTAAAGGGTTCATGGAATTTCAAACTTTTCGAACTTTTCGAGAATTTTTTAATTTCCAAGTTTTCAATTTTCAAATTTATACTATCAAATTAATTTTTTTTATAAAAAAATTTCCAACAATTCTGCATAATTATCATTGAAATTCGGCAAAATTGAAATTCTTTACAAAATCGAAATTTTCAAAAATTTCAGTATAAAACGTTTTTTGGTTTCTGAAAAACAAAAAATTTCAGTTTTCACACCAACCTAAAAATGAGCATTTATCCTTTTTAACTATAAAAAATTTTAAAAATTTTGAAGTCCTAAAAAATGATTTTTTGATCTACCGTATAACATGGGTCAACTTTGAGCTTTTAAATCTAATTTTCTGTAAAAGATATCAAACAGTGATTAATTAACAAAATGTTTATCATGAAATTACCAATATTTTATCAGTCGACAACTTTTTGGTAACTTTAACAGGAACCGAGATAGATGAGCTCAAAGTTAAAAGCTAGTGGGTTTAAGTTTGAGCTCAATTATCTCAATTCCTGTTAAATATATTAAAAGTGTGTCAACTGATAAACCTTTAACATATAACAAGTAGTGATTTTCAAAAGTTTTAATTTTTGGAAAAATATTCAGAAAGTGTTAATATTTCTGTTATATTTGTTGAAAAAACACGTTGCTCCCAAAAACTTAATGGTCCATCTTTTGGGAGATTCAAAAGATTCACGTGAAATTTTAGTACTTTGATGTGAAAATTAAAACTTTTGAAATTCACAAATTGTTATATTATCAGGAACATTTTATCAGTTGAACACTTTTTGATATCTATTTCAGAAATCGAGATAAATTGGCTCAATGTAGAAAGTACGGTAGCTTCTGAAATTTTTTTCTGTTTCTCTTCTCAAAGTACCTAACCTACTTGACACTTTCCAAATCACCAATTACTCAAAAAAAGAGCAAAAAAAGTAGGAAAATATAGATACAGTCCGTTTCTCTCTCTCTCTCTCTCTCTCATCAATGTCAACAAATCCCGAAATCTCTAAATCTCTCAAATTTCCAAAGTCTTTTCTCTTTTTTTTGCTCACAGATCCCATAAGAGGTACTTGAGATTTGCTGGGGATTTGAGCAGCAAAAACTCGGTAGTACTACAAAAAATATATGGCAAATGGAAGGGATAGTTGGTAGTTGAACTTTGAAAGTGAAAATTAAAAAAAAGGAAAATCCCAAAAATTCGCAAAAAATTAAATTTCCAGATCGGCATCGCACACGCCGTCGATGCTTGTGAACGCCAAGAAATATCTCTCCGATCGACCACAGCTTTTAGATTGTCCACGTTGCAAGGTAATTAATCTAATTAGCTGACAACTAGCCGTTAATTAGTCAACTTATTGGAAATTTCAAGTTCTTGGAGTCCTCAAAATAGCCTAGCTCACTATCAGATTTGTTCAATTTTGAGAGCCACCAGGCTTCAAAATTGCATATCTCATATTCCAAAAGTCCAAGCTTTCTGAAAATTTCAGTTTATACTAATCGAAACTAGAGCTACATTTTTGTAGTTGACAAATTTTTTGAAAAATTAGGTCCTGGGGAGATATGCCACGTGGAAGCTGGCGCATCTATCGACTCTGAAATCAGCTATAGGCACCGCCGCACTTCCAAGGGGCATATCTCATAATTGAAAAGTCCCAACTTTTTGAAGATTTCAGATTATACTAAACAAAACAAGGGCTTTAATTTTGTAGTTGACAACTTTTTTGAAAAATTAGGTCCTGAGGAGTTATGCTACGTGGAAGCGCCCCTCTTTTTTGGCGCCTGCTCCCTCGCTAGGGTGGGCGCGCCTCCAGCTATGCCCTCTTCCACGTGTCATATCTCCTCAGGACTTGATTTTCAGAAGATTTGGTAACTATAAAAAGGAGGCTCTAGTTTTGTTTAGTGTACTCTGAAATTTTCAGACAAATCCAAAGAAAATATGAGTTAGGTTTTTAGCTAGTAACTTTTTGAAGTCCAAAAATTTAAAAAAAAAATTGTTTTTGAATCCAATTTTTTTTTCGAAATTATCGAAGATTTGAAATTTTAATTTAATCATCTTGATTAGTTTTGATTACCCTACATTTTCAGAATCACGGCGAAACGGAGCTTCGTTTCGTCAACGGCTTCTTCACCTACCTGTCGTTCTTCGTCATCCTCATCTTCGGAGTCACCATCCTCCCACTCTTCTTCCTCTGGGTAAGGTTTTTACTGTAGAGTCAATTATCAATTTTATTATTAAATAATTTTTTATGATCTTTCTAATGGTATTAAATTCAAAACTCTAGCTTTAAAACGAACAAAGTTATCGCTGGTTTTAAAAATATCATCAAAAAATTTTTCCGTTACTTTGAAAAATTGCTCATAACTTTCTTCGTTTTTATGCTATAGTGTTAATTTTGATACCATTCAAATCAGCTTAAAATTTTACATTAGAAATTATTAATCCTCAAAATTAACTATAAGTTTCAGGTCCCATTCTGTGTTGAAACATTCAAAGACGCCGAACACTACTGTCCATCGTGCCGCGCCTGGATCGGAACCTACAGACGTTTGGGAAAATCCACTTAAGACCATTTTTTTGAAATATTGATTTTTTTGACCTACTACTCAGAATCCTATTTTTCGCTTATTGATATAAATGATTTTTTTTGTGTGCCTAATGAAAAAGAAACATTTTAACGAGAATTTATTTTTGTACAAGCAAAAGGACAAAAGGTAAAGCTTAGAAGACGTCATCGTTGTGAAAATGGGCAAAATTATGCAAAAAAAAACGGAAAAAAACACGGGCAAGAAACACATAGTTTTCTCTAGAAGGTAGGGAAGGGTTAACTTGAAAATTGAAACTTTTAGTTCAAAATTTGGAATCTCTGAAATTCATTTTCACACTTTTGGGATCTAGCTGAAAATTACAGTACATATCAAACAAGTCTGAAGCTCCATTTTTGTAGTAGACAACTTTTTTGAAAAATCAAGTTCTAAGGAGATATGCCAAGTGGAAGAGGGCTACCTTGCGGGGTGCCCAAACTAGCAAGGGAGCAGGCGCCAAACAGAGCACGCTCTTCCACGTGGCATATCTCTTCAGGGCTTGATTTTCAGAAAAGCTTGTCAACTACAAAAATGAAGCCCTAGTTTTGTTTAATGTACATAGCAAGTTTTAGCTAAATCCAAAAAGTTTGAAATAGGATTTTTAGAGATTCAAAAAGGATAGCCTGAAAATTTTCCGATTTTCAGTACAAACTTCAGAACCTCTGAAAATCTAGCTCTGATTTTTTCGATTTGTCTGAAAGTAGAGCTTCATTTTGTTAGTTGACAACTTTCTATGAAAACGCTTCTTAAAGAGGATACGCCACTTGAAAGAAGGTATACCTTGAGGCCCGCCCATCCTAGCAAGAGAGCAGGCGCCAAAAAAGGAGTTTTCTTCCACGTGCCATATCTTTTTAAGGATTGATATTCAGAAAAAATTGTCAACAGCAAAAATGAAGCTCTAGTCTTGCTTAGTGTACTCAGCAATTTTCAGCTAGATCCAAAGCTTTTGAGATACGATTTTCAGATTTTCAAAAAATTGTCAATTTTTCAAGTCATAGCAAGCACCAAAGTCAAAAAACTGGGTGAAAAATAATAAGCACCAAAAAATTAGACCCGACTGAATCGGCCCAAAAATTTCTTGCAAGCCGGACAAGTGTGAGTGACGTCACGCAGCTGGTCCAGGAAGAATGGGACACAACAGAAGCACCAAGGGATAATGAAAAGGAAGAGCCCGAGGAAGGCGAAAATGGCACAAATGATCCATGGAAGAATGCCGGAGACAAACTCAATGTGTGACACGATATGGTTCTGGAAATAGGGAGAAATTGGGATAGGGATAAGGTGGGAAAGGACTACAAATTACAAAAAAATTGGATAGAAACAAAGGTAAATAGATTTATAGTCGAAGTTTTTGATTTGCCTGAAAATCTAGCTCAACTTTATTGGATCTGTCTGAAAATCTCAGAGTCTGCTAAACAAATCTAGTGTTTTATTTTTGTAATCGACACTATTTTTTCTGAAAATCA